GGAAATTTCTCCCTAGTTTTAGGTTGCCTATATTCTATTTCCATTTTTCCCATCTTCTGATCTGAGTGTTATATTTTTTCTTCCATACATTGGATTTTCTGTTCGTTGATTGTTAAGGCTTTCTGTATCTTTTCAACTTTATCTTCTACATTTTTGATTGTTCCTTTCAATTCTCCCATTTCCTTTTTTAATTCTTCTTTATTTTCCTAATTCTTACTTTACTTAAAAAGTGAACTCTACTCACACGGAGGAAGCCTAAAAGGCCATTAACTTGGTTTAAACAAGGTTCAAAGTGCCCCCATTAAAAATCAAATTGTCCCACTGTTGGGTGTGGGGCCTGGGCCCCATGTTGGGAACCACTGATCTAATCCCAATATCATGGCAGAAGTTCACCGTCAGATCACTGGACTTGTAAGAATACCTTTGCCATCTGTTACTCTGAAATGAAAGTTTCAGCTTTCAGTACTCATCCCAACTAATCATTTTTAAAGGGTTTTTTTTTTAGTTTCCCATTTCCTAGTTAACTGCTATCAGTCATTGAGGTAGTACAAATCCAAAAACCAAAATATGCCTTCCAAAACCAGTAATAACTTAAACCAGGACAAAAAGACTAACAACCAAATCCCATTATCTACACCAGAGGTTAGGCGCTTATGTTGGTAAACCAGTTCTTAATCCCATCAATCCATACTATTTAAGTCATTGGCCCCCTGTAGTCTAGTAATATATGCATTTTGACCTGGGTAGCGAATAGAAAAGGAGTCTGCCCGTCATAGAGTTTCAAAATTATTGCCTTTTTGAGGGTCAAATAAACAAAGTATATACGAGAACCAGTTTGTAAGTTGTTGTATTTAGGCATGTGATTGATTTCTTCAAAAGAAGTTTCAAGCGCATTGTACTGTGTGTTTGGTTTTGGTTCAGCATATAGTTCCAAATTTTTAGTCATGACCAAAGCCTACTTCTGAAAATTACCTTGCTCTATTTCTTGCCACAAAAGATTTTTTGAACCTTTTGAACAAAGGCAGACGTAATGCTTCTATCTATGGATTCCATATTGTGATTTATTTGAGTCAAGGTACAATGTCAATAATTCAAGAGGAATTCAGATCATGGAAATATTGTGCATTTTTAAACCGAAAGATACATAATAAAATGTTCTAATAATTGTTATTTAAAATAATCAATTAAATTGTGTTAAAATATTTTCCCACATTAGGATGTGTTAAGGATATGTAGAATTATCTCAGTTTTCAAAGATCAAATAGCAAAATGTCCTGTTAGCTGATTCTTGGATTCTACTGTTCAAAGAATGTAGACCCTTCCCCCCCTCCCCCCAACTGTCTGGCTCTCCTTAAAGAATTGTTCTTTCTGGACCTTGTCCATCTGCTGTAGAGCAATAGTTCCCTTCCCACTTTAGCTGTTCCTTTAGCCTTATTTATATCCAGCTTTGGAAATAATCTTCCATGAAGTAGCTGCCTCCACTTCATTTATCCCTTAATTATTCTTTTCCAGTGTATACATATTTGAGAACAAGCCACTTCAGATACCACAGATATTAGAAAATTGCATTGTCTTCAGCGGAAATGAAACTGTTTCTTTAGCCCATCTACAAGACAGTTATAATTTTCTGACATGGAGCACTGATTGCTTAGAGGGGTGGATATTGGATACAATAATTTCCATACAGCCAAGGGTTCTGAAGAAACTGATCTTAGCAATGGAATTCTGGTCCCAACTGCAGTCAAAAGTCAACTTCTTGTGTGTAATTTTGCAATTTGAAAAAATAATTCAGCAAGCACAATGATGTTCTGATATTTTATTCTATAAATCAGTGCTTCAGTTCAGCAGCNGCTTCTCTTGCTTAGATTCTTATTGAATAGTCTTATTGCACAGATAAAAGGGAATGTACCAGTGGTGAGATTCAAAAAAATTTACTACCAGTTCTGGGGCATAGCTTTGTAGGTGTGGCATGGCTTGATGGGTGTGGCAGGGGAAAGACACTGTAAAATCTCCATCCCCTCCCCACTCCAGGGGAAGGTTAATGCAAAATTCCATTTCCTCCTGATCAGCTGGGACTCGGGAGGCAGAGAATAGATGGGCCAGTCAGAGGTGGTATTTACCAGTTCTCCAAACTGCTCAAAATTTCTGCTACCGGTTCTCCAGAACTGGTCAGAACCTGCTGAATACCACCTCTGGAATGTACATGGCTGAGGATAAGGTTGTAGGACCCATTCTGGGTCGGTCACCGAGACCAGAGGTTTCGTCTTCTGAGCTTTCAGATTCTGACTCATCCTGGAGCCTATCTTCAGGGAACTTCTCTCTAGCCTCTCGATAGGCTCCAACACAAGTCTGAAAGCTCAGAAGACAAAACCACTGGTCCAGTAACCAACCCAGATTGGATCCTACAGTCTTATTGCAGTTTATTTTGCAGCCCATGTTTTACAACATTCCTGGTGTCTTGTCTTTGTCTTTCACTCCATGCATTCAACTGTTTCCACACTATTTGATACTTCGCATAGTGCCTAAACTTCTGTCATTAAATGTTATATCATCTCAATAATTTGCTTTTCAAATTTTTGCTTTATGAAGAGATTTTGGCCTCAGTCCAGTTAGAAAGAAAACACTGTTCTTGCTGGTACTTCAAGGTATCCAATTTTTTAAGATACAGATAGCCAGTTTGACGGGATATATTGGCTGCCTTACCCTGGTGCTTATTTCTTCACATAAAACCTTTTGCTTGTTGAAAAGAGACCATTAGATTGATTCTGCCAATCCAATACAACGAGAGCCCATTTGATGCATTAGTAAAAGGACTGGCCTATAGACCAAGAGTCCTTGAATTCTAGTCCTCCCTTAAGCAGGAAAGCTGGCTGGGTTGAAAAGGAAAAATGACTAAATATATCAAATTCATATACATATATATATTTTCAGGACCCATTGGCCCCATGAAGAAAGTCATGGTGGAGGACCCTAAGAAGCGGATGGTTCTGATTGAAAATTTACGGGAATCACAGCCTTACCGTTATACAGTGAAGGCCAAGAATGGAGCTGGATGGGGGCCAGAAAGAGAAGCTACCATTAACTTGGCTACACAGCCAAAACGTCCCATGTCCAGTAAGTTTTTATCATAGCTTTTCAAATGTGTACGGTCAAGCTTCTGCTATACAGAATTTTTGTTTTGGGCTTGAACTAATACAGTGTTGTTAAGAGATATCCCTTTGGGTTTGTGCTTCTATTGTGTGGGTATTATACAACCAGTATTATAGTCTGTATTTGCAGACCTATACTGTGTGGCATATATTCACTGTTTAATGGGATACCACTGGGAACAGGGATCAAACTGTTTATTAATATTCTTACTTTTAATTGTATATGCTAAATATACTGTTCAACCACATCCCAGTATTGTTATCCTAACATGCATATTTTTAAATCAAAGAGCTTCAATGCTGACAGTTTTCTCCAGTGAAACAATGTCTCATATTAATTAGATCAAAGTACTAGATCAAACAGTATGTTGATATAAAGTATGGTTGGGATTCATTATGTTTGCATAAAAAAAAATCCAACTTATATTTGGTTCCTTCCTTCCTTTTTTGCAGTTCCTATCATTCCTGATGTACCAATAATTGATGCACAAGAAAGAGAAGACTATGACAGCTTTCTAATGTACAGCACAGATGTATTGCGTTCACCAGCTGGTAGCAAGCATCCCAGCGTCTCAGATGACTCTGGTACAGTATGCTTCGTTATAACTTGCAAAAAATGTTTGGTTGCCATTTTTCATGAAGTATAGATATAAGAGAAAATGAATATACTGTACGAGGGCAATACAAAACAACTTGAACACGCTGAGCACCATATTAACAGGCTAGCAAAAAAAAAATTCCTATTATTTACAATCAAGCATATTTTAAGGCGGAGCTAATATTATGGCTCCCAGAAGTTCTATAAGAAAACGTCAAGGCAAGAAAAAGAGAAACAAAAAGTCCAGTTAAGCTATCAGGTCCTACCTATTTAACACTACCTTCCAGACTAAAATAAATAAATAAATTCCAAATTGCTATGATCCAGGCTCTCCGATGCATCAGGAGGCCTCTGGTGGGTCCTTATTGAAATTACCGTGCTAGACTTGACCTGTGATTTCCCTATTAGCCTCTCTAAAAAAAAATAAAAAAATCTGAGGAATGCTTTGTGTGGAGGTTTCAGAGTTCAGAATATCCAATCATATACTTTTGAAGTGGAAGTTTTCTGTTTGGTGGTTTATCAACCCGTGATAGCAAAACAGGACTGTAAATTGTTTTTGTGCTTGCACTTCATTGATTTTCCTCTAATGCAGCAAAATAGGAAACTATCATTTCTATCTAACCCAGTGGTTCCCAACCTTTTTTTGGCCATGCCCCACCTAAGCATCTCTAAAATCCTGATGCCCCCCCCCCCAACATATAATTCTTTATTTATTTATTTATTTTATTTTAAGCACATCAACAGAATACATAAACACATTAACAAAAATAACCACATAACTTAAAAACAACATAGGAACAATAAGTTCCATTGTATATCATATAGCGGTTCCGAATTGGTTTCTTTGCAGTTAGTGTTTTCCTTTCTATACATTTCTATCTTGCGTTTGTAATCTCATTACTCATTATCCATTTT